AATTTTACATTTATTCCTTGTGTTAAATGTGTCTCCTGCATAAATACTACTGAGGCGAATCGATGTTGTATTTCTTTGAGGATCTTAAATCTTTTCCCTAAACTATTTAAACCCTTAACATTATAAGTCATAAAGTTTTTTCCTTTTTGCCTTTTTTTCTGTTTCTCTTCTTCTCCTTCCCTCCTTCCTTCCCCTCTTTCTCTTTTCTTGTGGAACCTCGATCTACCTCCAACTACCCCTTTTCCCCTCCCTCCATCCCCCCTTTCCCCAGTTAGGCCTTTTCGTTTGCCTATGAATCATTTTTGGATCCATTTCCACCCTAGATTCAACCTGAGGCGTAGCTCTGAACATGCACGTTTCCCTTCCCCCTCCCCCCGTCCCACCAAGGACAGAAAGCACAAAACTTAACATTTAATCCCTAGTTCTCGAGGGGGCAGGAAAGACGGTGGTGCAAACAACAAAAACAATCCAATTTTCCTTTCCCTTTTCCCTTAATAAAAGCACCTTTTGCTCCCCTTTCTTCTCTTTCTCCCTCGAACTTCTCTATTCTCGCTCCCCTCTTTTTGAAGCCTGCCACCTATCTTTTTCCAACAGCCGCATTTCCTCCTCATTTTCCTCCCATTTTGGAATATTTATTCTCTGCATTTCAAGTCTTTCTCAAAAGTCTTTCAGGTCCTCAGGAAACTTCAATGTTGCTGATCATCCATTTTTCCATCCGACCAGGCAAGCAGGAAAACCCCATCTATATTGAACATTCTGCCTTCTCATTTGTTCCAGTAATTGTTTTAAAGATATCCTTCTTATCAGTGTTTCCGCTGTAATATCAGCAAAAATCTGTATATTTACTTCCCCATATTTTATTATTGCTCTTCCTTTTAACTTTTTCCAGATCTCCTCTTTATCCCGATAATATTGGAATTGTACAATTATACCTCTTTTCTGCCTTCTTGTGGTTGGGGTCTGCCTATTCTATATACTCCATCGAGTTTAAATGGCTTGGTTAAAGTCCTGTTCAATATTATGTCTATAATTTTCCTTATTGTTTCCTGTAGATCTTCTCCTTGGGGGGTCTCTGGGAGACCTCAAATCCTTAAATTGCATCTTCTATCCCTATTTTCCTTATCTTCGATTCGATTTATACAGCAGATTTTTTTGTTTTTTTCCTCATGTCTGTTATTCTTTTTTCCAAGACATGTATTACTTGGGCAGGTTTGTCCAATTTTTCCTCCGTCTCTTCAACTCTTGACAATATCTGCCCTAGGTCTTTATGTAGTTTCACCATTTCTTGTTTTATCGATTTTTCCAGGTCTTTAAACATTTCTGCTATTTCTATTTTGGTAGGCAAATGTGAGTTCTTCTCTTGTTCTTCTGTATTCTCCAGCGCTCTTGTTTTATCTATATCTGTGTCTTCTATACTTTGGCTAATGTTTGCCATTCCTAGGGATAGTCTAGAACTTTCTTCAATATTATCTTCCATCTCACAACTACCATTTATTCTTGTTTGTCTTTCGGGCGTACATTTTTCCTGCGACAGTATATATTTTTTAATTGAACTATTTTGAGACCTTTGGACCTCCTCCCTTTGACGTTTTATTTTTTTTATTTTGCTGTTAACTTCAATTCCCACTCAGCTGGAATGATAGGGCACGGAGGAGGAAAAAAAAAATCTCTTCCCCCTTTTTTTTTTTCACGACTCTGAAGGAATATCTCTCTTCCTCTCTTTTCCTCCTTCTTCCTCCTCCTTCTTCTTTTCTGTCCCCCTCTTTCCCTGATATTGCACCGTCAGGTTCTGCACCTCTTTCAGATCTTCTATTTCTTACTTTTATCCTTTGACCACTTCTTCTCTTAATTAAACTTTTTAGTAAGTCCTCCTGGATACATACCCCCCCCTTCCACATTACTATCAAGTTCAATTACATTTCCAATATATGTTCTCACAGTACATTTTTATTTCTCCTGCCACTCTCACTCACCCTCTTAGCTGCCACTTCTTTTGTCTTCATAGAGACGTCATCCAAATTCTTCTTTGGGGGGGGGGGGTTGCTAACTTCAGTGCACCTTCCTGATAGCAGGCTTATTCGGGTGGAGGGGGGGGGGGCATTCCAGAGTATCCCAGCAGGGACTCGTTATCTGTCCCAGTGAACTGTTGTTTGGGAGACACAAGCCAAAGCTTTCTCCCCTCCTGCACGCCGGCTGGCTTCTCCTCTCCTCCCACTGTTCCTCCCTCTGAGTCACATGACTGCTCAGCGTCCTCCCGGCTCTCTCCTGTCACAGGGATCCTCCAGTCTCTCTCTCCGCAACTTCACCTCCACTCAGCAAGCTCTGGGGACATGCTCTCCACCTAGGGGACCGCTTTCCTGACGAAAATCATCTGCGGTTCCCCTAGCCTCCTTCTCCATATGGCGGGACTTCGGCAAGGGTTCAGGTGGTGGGAGTTCTCATTGTGAACTCCCGCTTAGCTCCATATTCAGACTCCTCCCTCCTTCCCACACAGCAAATTGTTGACCGTCACAAAAGAAATGTTAATGAGCAACTCACACCTAAGCTACTCTCAACACATACTGCTGTCTCTGCTTCTACTCTCTGTATTTCTCTGAAACAGTCTGAAATAGTTAATAATTTACCACTTTTCAGTGCATTCTGGGCATTTGGGAGGTTCTCCTGTGCTTATATTTAAAAAACGCTTCTAAACACGCATATGCAAACGCGGCTAAACAGATGTTTTTTAACCTACGTTTTCCAGCAGTCAGTTTCCATCGTTCAGAAGTGTCCCCTGTACATGGGGCCTATGGGCTGGAACACAGTTCTGCATTGCAGTTCTGCATTGCAGTAATGTTGTAACTGACCTAACACACATCAATGCAACATGTTGCAAAAATGGCGAATGGGCCCTTACAACAAACCACATCTTCATCTTTAAAAGAAAAAAAAAACAGTTAAAAAAAGATCCTTACAGTATATGTAAAATACCGACTCACAACTTCATCTGTTAATTAATAGTCGCTTCCATCCCCCACTAGCTCCAGCCTGTTGTATGGTTTAATTATATTTCTGCCTGCAGTAAGTAACATGCATTCCGTTAATAACTGGGGCAGGAGCACCGCATGTGATTTCAGGGAATCCCAGCATTTGAGGCCAAGACATAACGGTGCTGTAATTAACTGGGAGCATTAGCACCTGTGCAAGCATTTGGGAACTTGGAGGTTTATCTTCTACCAGTACATAGCTGGTCAGAGCGTCAGTCTGTGATCATGTGACCTGTTCTTCCATGGAGGGTAGCTATACTCAATGGAGATAATCATCATGTTTCAGTCTCCATGGAAACACGAACAGCAACAAGGCTTAAAGGTATAGATGCTTGTTCATGTGAAAATATCTTTTCCAGTGTTAACGTTTGTAGGCCATATAAGGTGAGTCTTCACATGGTTGTGATCTAAGGAGGCAAAAACAGTTTCTGCAATAATGATCATTAGCAAGCAAAACTAACTAGCCTGACCTAAAACTAAAAATATGATGACACAATTCGCTTTTAGCCAATGGGAATAGCAGAAAATATGTGCCAAGCGCAGTAACCCGTATTATTTAATTATAAATTCATAGCAGGAACAACATTAAAAATTATTTCTGCTTGGTTGCTTTTAATAATAGTAAGGGCAAGGGCTTGTTTACACCTGTGTCTCTCTGAGAAGAGCAATCAGCGGTGGATCACTTTTCACAGAGCAGTTCAGAAGCATCTTACAAGTGTTCAATACTTCTGGTGCCTCCAGAATGCCTGTTTTCTTACTGTATAGCCAAATGGGATTTTTTTTAATGGGAATATCACACCGAAACCATGAGCCAAGCATTTGGCTTGCATTTATGGCGCACTCCCGCTCACTTGAATATGTTGCTTTCTGCAGTGGTACTTCCGCTTTACACAAAGGAAGATCATTTTTGCTACTCCATGTGCACAACCATATCTGCCTGTCTTTGCAGCTTAGGAAAGGGAGTAAAAATGCAGCTAAACCATCTCTTTTAACTGCCCCCCCTACCCCAAGTGTAAGCCTAACGGAATCAGTTTTAACACAATAATGTAAACTGCATGATAATTACAATTCTAAAACTCCTATTGACTAGTAAACATTAGCCAAGACATTGTTAGTTATAACACAGTAATGTGTACAGTATGTGTACTATAATATCTATATATTGGGCAGCACAGTGGCTAAGTGGCTAGCACTTCCGCCTGGCAGTACTAACCCAACTAGTCCCAACCACAGCACCACCTCCAGCAGGAGCAAATTGGATCATGCTGGGGTTTTTTTTTTTGCTTTCCTCTGGATCAACTGTGGGTATAGTATTAAGACTTTTTTTTTTCTATGGTTGAACTGGATGGACTTTTGTCTTTTTTCAGCCAGCCTAACTATGTAACCACCTGCCTGGTGTTTGCATGTTCTCCCTGTGCTTGCATGGGTTTCCTCCAGGTACTCCAGTTTCCTCCCACACTCCAAAGACATGCTGGTAGGTTAATTGGATCCTGTCTAAATTGGCCCTAGTATGTGTATGTATGAATGTGAGTTAGGGACCTTAGATTGTAAGCCCCTTGAGGGTTAGGGACTGCTGTGAATGTACAATGTATATGTAAAAGCGCTGCATAAATTGATGGTGCTATAAGAACCTGAAATAAATAAATATATATATGATATATGTCAGGGCTTAAAATTTCAAGTCCTAAGCTACTAGCCAGGCCTTAAGAGTTACTCGCCACCAACAAACACACACAAACAGAGACACCTGTACACACACACATACACACACAGAAAACATGTACACACATGCACAGAGACACATGTACACACACACACACATACAGGCACATGTATACACACACAGGCAAGTACAGACATGCATACACACAGATACATGTACATACACAGAAATACACACGCACAGACACATGTACATACACACAGACACATGTACATGCATACACAGACACATGTACATACATACGCAGACACATGTACACATAGACACATGTACGTACATAGACACACATGTACATGCACACACACATGTACACGTACATGTACATACACGCAGACACATGTACAGATACACACATGTGCATACACACAGCCACATGTACATGCATACACAGACACACACAAACACAGACACATGTACACACACGCATGCTGTTAAGTGCTCTCTCCTCTCCCCTGAAGCCACCACTGGCTGACATAGAGGATCATGTGACCAGAGTGAGCTGAAATTAGGTACACACACACACACACATCTCTATAAAAAGTTGCAGTACTTTGTTGTTCACTCACAGATCCGGGGTACTGCACACTAGGGGGAGGCAGTGAGCACAGCACACACTCCTTCCTTTGCTTTCACTGGGCTCAGCTATTGAGCAGTCTGACGGCTCTCAGTGCCAATGACAGATCCAGCCTGAGCTCTGAGCCTGCTCAGCAAGACAGTCCTGGGGGACACACTCTCCCCCACCATAATTTCCACTCGCCGTTGGCGAGCAGGCGAGTGGAAATTTCAAGGCCTATATATGTAATATATAGTATGTAGTTCCAGGTAATCATCAACAGACATGTCTGAAGCAAGAATAAAGGAAAGCAGGATGTAAAATAATTGTACCTTGTGTACTCCACTGGATTTAGGAAGCAATCTGGGTAGCACAGTGGCTTAGTGGTTAGCACTGTGATTCAAATCCCTGTCAGGACACTTATTTACATGTTCTCCCTGTGATTGCATGGATTTCCACCCACATTTCAAAGATATGCTGGTAGGTTTCAAATTGGCCCTAGTATGCATATAAGCTAAGGACCTTAGATTGTACCGTATGCTCCTTCAGAGTAGACACTGATGTGAATGTACACTATGTAAAGTTCTGTGTAAATTGTCTGCTCTGTACAAATACCTGTAATGCTAATAAAATAAATAATCTTGCACAATTCAAGCACAGTGGTAAGGTTACATGATGGCATTTCTCAAAAGTTATAGTAATTCTCAGTGATAAACAATCAGTAACTTGTACAGATGAAAATTTGATTAAAAGTAATGGTGGTTTGAATAACTTGTGCTTGAATCTGCTGAGAACTTGGCAACTTGTCCACGACTTAGCAACAATACCACGCTGTTGGACACAATGGATGCAAAGACTTTATTTAATAAGGCAAAGAATTCGTCTCTTACCAGACTGTCCACTGTGACCTGCTGGAAGATATTTTCAGATTAGTTGCCAAGGGTTGCAATTCAATTATGTGCCACTCCGGACCATTTCTGTTGTGCCACCTCCTGTGATTCTAGATGTGGCTGCTCACTTTCACATATCTTATGACATATAATCAAGGTTATTCATGTTAGGAAAAGTTTTTGTGGTGAATGCCCAAAGTGTATTCATAGTTTCAATTTAAGCTACCATGAAGTGTCCTCAGACTGATGAAAGTCTCTCTACTGGTAAAGAAATTGTAAATGAGTTTCCATCAGTCACTAACACTACACAAGGATTTTAATATGCTCCAATAACCCACCAAATGGAGGAGGTGCAAAGAAAATAAAAACTCTGGACCAAGTTTGAATGTATTTTGGTAAGGACTGTCAAGCCTAACATGCATCATTATAATAGAAGAGTAAAACAATAGCTTGGTTGGATAATTGGCATGTTAGCTGTCCTACTTTTACATCTGAGGACTTCATTAATGAATTCTTAACTAATTGACTTGATATGTAATGGTTGGGAGCCAGAGGCTAAAGTAGGATTAGAAACTCCTAAGTATGTAAAGCTTTGATGTGGCTGAAATCCTATTAAAGTTTGGATAGTAGAGAATGGCTGCGGAAATGTAACATCTCATCCACAAATACTTTACATGGTAAGACTCTTAATAGGGAAAGCACGCAACCTGAGCGGCCTAGAATGGAGATCCTTTGTCAGGTTAAATGGGTTACACTGATCGACTGCTTTACCGGCTATTAGAAATGGACCTTTAAGGCTACGTGACCAATATCTGTTGGTGTCACCTTGACTACTTATTTGTTTTAGATATGGGTGCATGTTAATATTGTTATAGGTATTATTTGTACTACAAAAAGTTAAGAAGTTATAAAGGACCAAGAAGGTGTGAATGGTTTTCTGTTCACTAGAAACTTGCTGTATACTCAGTTGAGACTGTGACAATAATGTAAACAAACAAGTGCAGACATACATTAAAATGAGACGATACATTTAGGTGATTATTGATATTTCCTTCTGGAGTTCTAAAGGCCTCATGCACACATTGCATTTGATCAGCCCTGCTGAACACTGTTTCTTCCCTTTGGCCGGAGGGAAAAACATATTAAAAAACACAAAGAATAGCTGCATATTGCACATTTAGGTGCTTTACAGTGTTTGAGCGTTCATTCACATTCCATTGGGCCAGAATATTCATTTATTTGACCACTGAAATGAATGAATACTCAATAGCTAAAATCATTCCTAGTGTTTAGATGTGTTACACTTAACCTTTAGGCACGTCTTTCGTTTTTTCTGCTGCAAACACTATTTTCCTGAATGAGCAAGTAATGGGTTTTTTCTTCTGCCTCTAAATGCTCCTCTTCAAGTATGCTAGTAATCGCCTATGTGTGCATGTAGACATGGGCTAACATTGAGGGACGTTTAGAGACAGATGAAAAGAATTTGGCAAACGCCTTTGGAAGTGGCTTTTTTTTGTCCACAGTGTGCATGAGGTCAAATTGCCATTGACAATGTATTCTTTCCAGAATAATATCAAGGCAAGCTTCTATGATTGAGCAAAATAAAAAATATTCTTAGTGCCTGATGAAAGCACCCCATGGAGTTTCCATAGATTGCTCATGTTGCTTGGGGATCCACTTTTAATTAATAAGTAAAAAAAACCATAAATTATAAATTGCAATAGTGTAGTGAGGAGGCTTTCTGAGAAATATTTACAATACTACAGCTTAAAGTGATACTTGGTCTAAAAGTATGTTGAAAACCTCTAAAGAAGAGACTAAATACATAAGCTCTCCTGCAGCCCATGCCACTAAATGCTTCTACTGGTCAGTAAAAATGGTACCCTGTAGGCTCTCATGGACACAAATGACACAGCACCTACATAAAAATAAGTGGAAAAAAATGATGTTTTGCATGTTGTTTTATTGCTTACTGTAACACAAAATTGGGCTGTCTGTGTGCGTCAAGGCATGCATGAAATCTATTTTACAATGCAGGCACCATAACGCACATTAGGTTTGTTGTCAGAAAGCTGTGTTTGCGTCAAGATGCTGGGTGTTCCAAATGAATTGCACTTCAGCACACATATAGGTTGATTTAATAAAACTCAGAAATGAGTGCAAAAAGCGCTGCAGCTGTGCAAGTGCAGCCAATGAGCATCTAACTTCCATTGTTCAATTAAGCTGTGGACAAATCTTAAAACTGAAAGCTGTTGGGAAAAGGTTCTATGCAAGCTAAGAGCAGATTTGCAGCTGTTTGCCAGGTTTAGGAAATCAACCCCGTTCCAAAATGCCGGGTGTGGGTTGTGGTAAGCTATTAAGGATGTTCCTCTAGGAATGTGATATTGATTGTGGTTATGTTTTAGTGGCTGTGCAACCAAATCATTTGGTTGGGGGGCCAATGGAACCCAGCTCACTTTGGGAGGTGGAGTGACCCCTGTCTCAGCTTCCCATATCCCTCTTATGTGTAAATACACCCAAAGCGGGGTAAACAGGGTGATCTGTCCTAACATTGTGTGGGCAATACCTTGTTATGTGGTTGAATACTTGTTCTATTTCTGTCTGAAAAATTTCAAGGGAGCAAACTATTATCGGGATGTATGTGTTTATGAGTATTAGCTTAGTGAGGGGTGTCTCCAGCAGCCCTCCCTCCTGATGGGACTGTCTGTTGGTGTGTCTCTTGTTACTAAATGTAGATTGCCCCGTCCTGTGTCATTATGCAGGGAGGGGGGATTGTCCCCTTGAGTGTATATATCTTGTATCTGTGTTCCAATAAACTAGTCTTATATGGTCTGCTGTGGTGTCTGTTGTCTGTGTTCGGACAGGTAAGCGGTAGTCTAATAGAAATACCCAAGCGCAGTCTGGGGTCGGTTCCGTTACAGTGATAATAACTAATCTGAAATCTGACAAATCTAAACCTTTACCAAAATGTATTTATTGCTTTCAATATTATTCACTAATTAGTATGTCGAGGAATAATTTACTGAAGAGTTCCTTCACAGACATCAGTGTGGATTGGGTTTTGAGCTTGCACGTATTGGGGTTGATTTACTAAAACTGGTGCACTCAGAATCTGGTGAAGCTGTGCATGGGAGCCAATCAGCATTTAACCTCAGCTTGTTCAATTAAGCTTTGGCAATAAAACCTGGAAGCTGATTAGTTTCTATGCAGAAATGAACCTGATTTTGCAGTCTCCAGCTTTAGTAAATAAACCCCAGTGTGGTCAGCATTCTAAAGAGGCGAACTATAATTCCTTAGCTGTCAGAAGAGGGTGTTTGGCTATTTTAACACATTTCACGAGATAGCTTCAGAGAGCTAGATTTTAAAACGCTCCCTCACAGTCATTTTTATTCCCGTTAGTCAGCTGATGAGTTGTTGCTTTTCTTCCATTTCATCTGATACAGTGACCTAGATGGGACAGGCAGCTCTCTCCTTATTCACAAACAGAGGCTGAAGGGCTTAGAAGCCGTGCTGTGCAGTAAAGATATGCAGTTTGTGCCAAGGGCATCTCATAAGTGATCTGTCTGCAGAGCTATAGGAAAGCTGGCATAGGTCAGGAAGACGTTAACACAACAATACTGGTATACAACAACACTTTAATGTGAATGGAGAACGTCTATATCATTTCTTGTGAATGTTCCCGAGTGATTGCACTAATATTTAACTGCTTTTTATATTGCAGGTTAACGTCTCCCTTTTTTGTAGTGAAAGGGCAGACAAGATAATATTGTAATTACACGTAATGCATTTAAATGCGGGCTAATACAATTATACAAATTAGTTCCAGACAAGGACTAAAAATGGCTCATGTTATACAAAGTGTAAAAGTCCACGTCTATGTATATCACCCACTACTGCTTATAACCAATAGGAAGCAATGCTTATACAATGGCACCCCTGCCAACCCACATCATGGTTGGGACCAAGAACATACTGTGCAAATTGTGTGGTTCATTTTTATATCCTTTAAAAAGCAGAGCTCATTGAAGCTGCGCAGTCTCCTGGCCGTTAACAAAACAATCAGTTTTGTGCCCCCCCCCCCCCCCCCCATCCCCTTCTACAGACAATTTAGCTTGAATATACAAAGCAAATATTTTAGTTCTGGAAAGCCATCTATACATTGAAACAGCTGTTGGTTTGATCACATCTTAACGTGTTACTAAACCCAGGACCCTGTATTCACTACATCTGGTCTCCCACAGTACATGGAAATGCAATTTTTTAATAAATATAAACTGCTAAATATCTTTTCTCATCAGCAGTTACAGCAGCCTTGTGACTTCTATCAGTGTTCAGCACAGCACTGGTTAAAGCTTG